TAGTAGTTAGTAGTTAGTAGTTAGTAGTTAGTAGTTAGTAGGTAGTAGGTAGTAGGTAGTAGGTAGTAGGTAGTAGTAGTAGTGGTGGTAGTAGTAGTAGTAGTGGTAGTAGTAGTAGTAGTAGTAGTCGTAGTGGTACTGGGTATGTTTCCCGAAGCCAAAAAACTTTATACTATTCCTAACCCCTAAACAATTCGTTCGATTCACTTGCCCTGGACTTGCGCACTACCCCTTGAAAAATTGTTTAGAACAAGATTAATATCGATGCGTGTTAAAAAGGGTTTTGAGAAAGGTTTCATGGGTTGAACAAGGATGTTAAAGGGCAGCAATAGCATAACAATAGACACATATAAACAAATATATACTGTAGAATAATAACACACTTCGCGGAATAATAAAAACATATCCCTCCCATTAAACTATTCAGGATGGGAATAATTCTGCAACGATTGTTCCTCCTCCCATCATAATTGAATTATACAATCCCTAGAGATCCAAGTACCTTCTCAGAAGGTGATTGGAGACTATTTATGTAGGCTTGGAGGGCCCAAGTATCTCCTGAGAAGGTATGTGCTTCCCTACAAAATTATGGTCCAACATCAATCAGCTCATCATAGCACCTCACCGCACATCAATCCGCCAAAGATCCTAGACGACACAGCTATCAAAGGCAACCTGCTCGCCCGGTCACCTGGTCGCCCCATGAAAGACTGAGGTTTATGTGCTGCATTGCCGCCTTCATGCAATGGAGAGATAAGTTGGCTGGGGGCCCAGTCTTCGTGTTTTTTCCGTGCGGCATCGGCACGGAGAAAGGATCGGAACGGCGGAGGGAAGAGAAAGTCACGTGCATTTACGTGATTTTACAGGGTAAACAGGTCATTTAGTCAACGTCTTTGCTGTAGGTTCAGAGGAGACAAAGATGAGACAAGAGAAATCCCCGGAAACCCTGCAGAACATTTTGGCTTATGTTCACTCTGAAGTCACTGTTTATTATCCAGGTTTCTCTTGAAACTGATGAAAAACATGTGAAAAAGATCATCGGACATCAGCGCAAAAACCCGCGGGGTTGGACTCGGACATAGTGCGCTATGGCTATGACTCATTTTATGCCACCTGCGAGTCATGGGTTACCGCCTGGAGCCCGACCACCATGTAGCTTGTAGGTCAAGGTATCCTGGTGCGATGATGTGCCATGACCCACAACCATATACAGAATTCCACCGGTGAAAGGCTGAGTGAAAGGCCATTGTTCTTGTCTCATCTCGTCTCCAGTTTGACGCGGGGTGTGACACCCAAGAATCTGTGGAGACCTATGGTCCAAAAAGCAAAAAAAACAACAACATTCCCAGGACCTGATTGACCCCTGTTTTGGAGCCAAAACATGGTCTTTTCCTATCAAAACAGAGGTTAAATGAGGCCTGCCCTGGAAGCGTGTTGGACCAACGGGGTGGTGGATCGGCACCCCGAAAGCCACCAATGTCGAGACAATCCACTCAACTAGAATATATGCAGTATACACATATCCTACAATAATAAGTATAATTCATCCACTAGTGTTAGTTATTTCATGTTATTTCAATGAATATAATTCCTACATACAATGTGTAGTTTTATTTTATACGTTTGGTCTGTCCTATTACCTGCTGTAACAGTCAGTAAACAACGATTACTATTTTGGAACAAGGCCTGCAACTGAACCATCGTCATCCACTGAGGCCCAGGTAGGATAGATCCAATGAACGTTCATATGGTTATTTTCATGAAAAAGATGCAACTTGTGTGGTGTGTCCGGTCCAGATCCCTCCTGACCTTCACCCCCCTGGCCCGGCCAACGCACGGCTCCGACCCGGCCAACGTCCGACCGGTCGGACCCGGAGGTCAGGGAGCACGGGCCTCGCAGAGACCAGGACCAAGAGGACAGGGATGAGTCGACTGGAGTTCCCAGACACTCCATGGATGGATTTACCTACATTGACCCCTTTTCAACCACCCCAATGTTCAAGGGATCAATGTAGGTAAATATGCCAGTCCCATGGAGCGTGGCCGGGGTTGATATTTTATACATCTAGAGACTGCTTGAGTCGACTGGATGACTGGTGGCTGGGGTGGTGAAACGTTTGAAGAGACTGGGAAGGGTTGCAAATCATTGGGTTGGAAATCTTGGAAGATTCAGAAACCGTATTACAGTTGCGTAGTTTGGAGAACGCCTGCTTCACAAAACATAATATTTACACATTGTTTGGTGCCATTAAACTGCCTCCCAACCTATAGCTCAAACCGGCTCTCCGAGCGGCTCGACCCGCTCTGACCAAGTAAGTACCACCTCGAGGGATGATTATAAAAGCATGATCTAAAAATTTAGCATGTTTCTTTTTTTAAAATGATTTAGTAAAGCCGATTCCGCACAAATCTCCACTTCTTCTCGCAAAAAGGTGTCCAAAAAGGTCGAAACAGAAACCGACCGTCGCGGCACCCGCATCGCGGCACTTCAGCAGGAACTCGTGGACACGCCCAGTGCATTGGTCCCACTTTCCCAGTCGCGTTGGTCCCGTGACGGGGGGGGGCTGAATTTCAGGCGCTGGCGGCGGAACGGTTCCTCCTATCAGTGTGTGTTGGGTTGGGATTTTTGGGGTCATGAATGAAGCGTTATGGAACATTTCGTGGTGGCAATCATTTGGCTGGATAGAGTTCTGTCATAGTTCTTCACTCCTGATGTTTATCTTGTGTAGAATGAAATACATGGTACGACTGCTTAACAAAGGTCCAACTTGACCACAGGCAGGGCAATTTGGTGCAGTTTGGAGTCAACAGTTTGGAGTCTATTTTTCAGACATGGGTGGACAATGGCTTCGAGTGTCTGGACGTCAACCACCATGTTGCTGGGCCCGATGTTCATCGCTGAGGTGGTGACGGCGGAGGGCCATGTGAGCAATCAAGAGCCGTTGCCCATGGAAGGAGACGGGAAACCGTTGATGGGTTTGACAGGTACGTAGTTTGATGATGCTTGATGTATACACTGAGATGGACATGCACCCCCTGTTGGCGGTCAGATTTTTGTTGGTCCTCAACCACACTACTGTGCTTCGCCGCTTGAACTCCCCTTAGTGTTTGGTTTGAGCATACACTCACTTGATCTTGAATTGTGCATGAATGCATATATTTCTATATGAAATCAACGTCGGTCAGTGAGCCGGGCGGCTCCGGGAAGGGTCTTCACGCGACTTGCATGTCGTTGTGCTCTCGGTACCGGATGTCACCTCCCAATGGAGGGGGCACCTGGTGCCTGGCGTGCTTGGGGTAAGAATCCCTCAGGAGTCAACTCTCGTTCAGGGGGGAGTCCTGCCTTGAGGGACGTGGTCATCAGCGCTGTCCGCCAGGCACGTGCGCTGCAAATCACCCGAGCCGTGGGCACCTCCAACACTGTTGAGAGCCCTCCGAGAAGAGGAGGCCAGGAGGCTTTGAGACCACCAAGGTCTCAAAGGAGGAAGAGAGCAGCGGTGTCCTTCGTCTGCCGAAGAAGAAGTTGCCGGAAGTGAGACCACTCAAGCACCCACTGGCTGGAAAGACAAGGTGTTTGAAGTTCGTTTCAATTGCAAGGACTATCAACAAAAGCGAGCCCACCCAAGCCACCTCGAGGACTTTCACGTGCGGAAAGACACTGAAGCAGACAGTCGAGAGGGGAAGTGTGATCCAGCACCTGGCGATACCACCGAGCCTATCCGCGAGGTCTCAACGTCCCAAACTTTGCAAGAGAGAAGAGCCCAAGGGCCGTCAGAGAAGCATCAAAGCCGGCATGAGCGGCGTTCCAAAAGGAGGAGGACAGCAGATCCCTGTGTGGGAGAAAACGCAAGCGATCAGCGGACTAAGAAGCTGTTCGTGCCACTACATCGGAGCCTGAGTTTTGCACTTTGAGGTCAGTCTCGCGCGTCAAAGACGAGGTCATTTGATTCTAGCTTTCCGCCGGAGCGATGACAACAGAAGGAGAAGATGGAAGAGGGGCATTGAGGGCATTTGCAGCCTACGATGTGACAGGCTTTTTCCCGGGAATGTCGTAAGTACAGCTGCCTGGCAAACTTTTCGCTTTTGGCCTGGGACGCTTAGCGCTCGGCAAATCGTACTGGGCACGCCTCCAGGCCAAAGCGATTAATGATTAATGGCAAGCAGGTGTTGGAGTAACTGAGACTCTTTGAGCATGTTTGATTCCGGGAAAGTCAAGACAGACCCCAACGGGGAGCAAAAAGCTATATAAAACTCAGAGTTGGTTTTCTCGGGTCCACTGAAGCAAGAGCTTCAAGGACAGGAGGTGTTAAATTGCCAGTTCCTACTCGTACTGCATGTCTCCACATGCAAAAGCGATGATGTCGGTGCACTTCTCCTCAAAGTGCAGCAAGCCACATATACATTCAGTACCAGGACCATGCACCAAGAACTCTATGTCTGTCAAAGTCCATATATCATCAGACTCACTATAGGCGCTTGTTGCACAGACGATTTAGCTCAGGAGAAGGGTATTTCGCATGAACAGCTTCTATTGGCCTGCGGAAGTTACGAAGAAACTCAACCGCTCAGAGTTGGCTTTTAGTTGGGTAAAGCCCAGCAAACTGATGCAGAGTAGGGCTATGTACGCCCACATCATCCCACAGCATCATGATGCACTTGTGGGGCAGACGAGAGGGGCTTGTCCCAGTGCATCTTCATTGTAGCATGGGGATAGCGAGCGACTCACAAGCAGGGAGGAGGAGCACTTGGCTTTGGCTCTTGAGCTTCAAATGCGGGCTCAGGAATTGGAGGCAAATTTGCCGGCTGAACGGGTAGCACGTGCAATCGCTCAACTTTCTTCGTGCCGGGTTTTCTCCGACCGGATGTTGCTTGGCGTAAGCGCGAAGGAACCCATGGGTTCAACATGTTGTGCACAGTTCATGGAAGGGTGCGTTGGCTGAAGGATTTCTCCACTGGCCCATGCTGTCCCCACGTGCCAGCAGCACCCCATACAGGACACGTACGCAGACGACAGAAGCGTGTGGAATGCTATTTTTGAGAGGGTCGCCCTTCCCCTCGCTTCAGCAGCAGCGCAAAGGCATGAACTTTCGCAGGACGAAGAGGCAATCTATTCAAGGGCGTCATTGGCAACAAGGGCGACATACTTGGTCATACTTGGGACCCTGCTTGAACCAAAAGCGGTTCTTGGGACCCTGCATGTTCATGTGCCTGGATCCTGGATTTATTTGTTGGTCGTGCTGTAGAATTGGCATAAGCAACAAAGGCATCGAACATTGGGCCAAAAACGGTTCTTTTCTGTGTTCATGTTCTTGTCAAGGTTTTTTTGGTAATCCGGTCCACCTAATAAAAAACGCCCGCCCCCCCCCCCTAATAAGGAAACCTCGGTCGCATTTTTTAAATAGGAGGTCCCTGAAATCGGGGGGTCCAAAATAGGGTCACCTGGGAAGAGCTTCAAAACCAAAAAGTAATCCATTAACATGTTATATAAAATCCTTTATTAAACGCATATCAAAAATGTCTTCCTTTTCCCCTACAAAAACCTTCATTAGAATAGTGATTCTTCAGTAGACTAACAGCTAAAGCTTTGGAAAGGTGATGTCGCTGCGCCATGCGGTGTTGCATGACCTCGGTGGCAAGTGCGTTTGCGTGAGTCCGTGCCATTGGGGGAAGGAACGCCTGCTGGTGTAAGCGCGGCGTGTCATGGTGGATAGACAGGGCGGACAGAGGTGGGCAGTTACGGTTGTTTTTGGAACCTAATAAGAAAAACCCCTCCAAAATCGGCCATGTTGGTAGTTTAGTAGGGGCTTGAAAGGGCGGTAATGTAAAAACAAATATAAACTAGGGGGTCCGTTTTTTAATAGGTACTCGGGATTAACTATAAGGTATCCAGCGCCAAGCGGGTGGCTGTACAGGCGTGCACGGAAGGGCGGAAGGGTGCCAAAAATGCTGATCGGAGAACTGAATGGAGCTGGTCTGTGTCTCTTTGTACTCGTGGCCAAGATACACTGGGAGGACTTGTATAAACCTTTAATATCCTTTAATCATTTTCCGAGCGTTCTTAAGCTGAAATGTTTGGCAAATGAAGCCATGTGCAAACCCGCAATCAGAGCCGACGTTTGTTCTTCCAACCCAGCAGCGTACAACTGCAGCTTGGATGAGGAATTTTCATCGGTAGAGCAGCAGCAATGGCAATGACACTGCATTTCGCAAAAGATTACTGTCCGAAGAACCTTGGAACGTTATCTAGTCCACGTTCATGTATCTTAGGCACGTGTGTGACTTTTGAGCACTGCGCAAAGACTGGGTTTGGAAGAGGAGTGGGAGGACTTACAACAGGGCTGGAAGCTTTACAATGCACTATATACACGTAGGTTGTTCCACCATTCTTCATTGATGTAGAAAACCTTTTGGGGACGTAAGTATCCGTGGGATCCTTTTCAAAAGGACGTAAAGATCACATCGTGGTCGTAAATAATTGCTCAACGTGCAACATTTAAAGTCAATGATTAACAAAAGGGATAGATCAAGGTGTCTGTATCTTATCAGGGTAGCTGGCAAGGCAGTAAACAGAAAACACATGTTCCTTCGCAATCAGTGTCCGTTTTCCAGCGGCCTCTCCCCGAAAGGACCCACCCTGGGGCCCGGCAACTTGCCGCGCACGGCGCAAGAGGTCGCCAGGCGGACGAGGGCGAGAGGGCGTGCGACCGTGATGGGATGTATGGAGATGCATGGAGGGAAACACCATGGACTTGTTGTTGTGACAAGCATCCCACCATGGACTTGGTTGGAATTGTATGAATCGAAACACGTTAGGCGATTCGGAGAGTGCACGGAGCTGAAGGATACGAAAAACAACTGGATGCGGCGTCCTTCCACGGTCAAAAAGATGGACCTGTCCTAGCACTGCCTCGGCCGGCTTGGCTCTTCACGGAGGCTGGACTTGGTCTATAGCAGTACACCCTTGGAGAAACTGCCCAGGCCAGGCTTTGACAGCGAGGGTGAGGAAGTAGCCTGGATGCGGAAGTCAAACCTGGGTGGTGCTTGTCGTGTCGTGTTTGGAATCTCACATGTTGTAAAATGTTGATTAATTTTGTAATATGTATACGTACAATAAGTGTTTTGGACCTTTTTTCCTCAGTTGTGGACCCCGGCGGTTTGCAAAACCAACTGACCTGCACCTAGTAAGAGAAAACAACCTGCTTTTGGTCCAAAGCCTTGCGTGAATGGAACCGCCACCGCCATGGAACCAAAGCAATCCCTGGGTCGGCCGTTCCTCTCCGACGAAGCGCCGGGCAGAGGTTCATCGTGCTGGGCGCGCTCTCAGGAGTTTGGGCCCCTCAGTGTTCCCATTCGTGGACCGGGTGGAACAACCCATCGACACCCCCCACAAAGGGAAATTAAGGACCTAGCAAAATGGAGATCAAATCACAGGAGTTCCAAGTTGGAGTTGTTATTGTTTTTTCATGTGTTGATTATTTCTTGCTGTTGTTCAATTAATGATGCATTTTTTTAACTTTGGGGGGCATGTTATACGGATTATACGGCAAAATGAGACCTCCGGTGACCACTGCCTGGGGATGTGACACCCAGGTGACAGATTCAGGGTGCCCGCCTCTTCGACTGAAGATGAGCTGAATCAGGTGTCATTGACCACCTTGCCTGGGGCTGGTTACCGCGGAAATAGAAAAACGACGCCAAACCTGGGCTGGATGCTGTTTTTTGGGGAGGGGGAACCCAGCCCACAGAAGTTTAAATCGGCTTTGTATTCAGTTCTTCCGGAGGTTTTAATCATGTTTACTTATATACAGAGTGTTCCCATTAGGCCCACTAGGGATACCTTTTAGGAAAATCAACTTGACAATCTGATCTGGCTGTTTGTGAGAGGCCCAAGCTCGTCCAAGAACTTTGCAAGCCTGATCCATTGACTTTCTGGTCCAGTCTTTGTCCAGAATAGAATTCCTTGATCAATCGAAACGCTGCAGGGAGCGTATTCCACGCTTCGAAGCGGCACGCAGCCGAGGCGCTGCTCGGCTACTTTGGTGTGGGCCCTGCTTGGGTGTGGGGATGCCCAGTTTTCAGATGGTGAGAAGCGAGGCATTGATCTCAGACCTCGATCTTACAATGGTGCAAACGTGAAACTGCTGTTCCATGCTTTCTTCCAGCCCAGTTGGACAGAGATGTTGGAAGATCTTTGCATGAGATTTGGGATTCCTTCATTCTGCATGGGATCCGGCGATATCGTCACTCCCAGTGTCACTCTGCAGGATTGCGCCGCTGGTGACTCGAAGCTCTCCAGAGTGGAAGCAGATTATGGAGCTGGCAGGTGGGGAATGGTAGAGATGACCATGTGCCACGTGGATTGAGCTGTTACGACTTACGATCTAGATTGTACTATAGTTATCATAGTCACTTGAATAAGAAGGCTTAAACGCTGAATCAGTTTAGTCAGGTGAGCCAGTCTGTAAGGCTTCTTCGTTCTTCAGAGAGCACGTAGGTGTATCACGGCTTTTGTAAAAGCTTCAGCGTTTTGGATGGATCTCTTTCCAGGTTCCTTTTTTGTTGCCCTTTTGGTGCTGTTGAACACCCATCCATTTTCTATGCCGGTCAGTCCCACCAAACCATGGTGGCTTGGCCTTAGTGGACAGTTCTGTATGTTGATCCTTCGGACTCCTTCGTGCCTCTCCCTGTGAGGGCCAGAGTCTCCAAGTCTCACCCCAGCTGGGGAGATTGAGTAGCAGATTCGGGGGACCATCAGAACGGACGATCATTACTGATTGTTGCTTTCATGTGAAGCTGGTGTCATCTTGTGTATATATATTTTATATAGACATAATAGAATCATAATACATATAGTTAAATATTGGTTCGTACGTGGTTTACGTCGGACAGACTGCAGGCACACACAAGATGCTCAGGTGACTACCCACTTGTCATTAGTCTCCTTGTTATATATTTGGTCATTCCGTGACCGTCATCATAGGTTGTTTCGTCATCACAAGAACCCCATACGAGAACCGATGGTGTCTTCAATTTCCGCAGCTTTCAGATCGCACGGCACAGTCGCCGCGAGGGCCTCAGAGATTTGGAGCAGGGTTCTCTGTCATGGTTCACGTTGGTTTGTGATGGTTTGTTGTGTTGGCAAATGATTTGTCCCTGCTCAAGAGGGTGCAGTATTTATCGGAGGGATATGGAGTTCACCAATGCGGTCCGAAAGGTCAAGTACTGGGTGATCTGAATTTTACTTTTTTGCTTTAATTTCATTGATACCGTCCACCCGCAGACGAAGCTCGTGGGCGGCACAGCAGGTCGGTGGTTGGGGCTTTAAGAACGTTCCCCGGCTGAACGCCATTGAGCAATTGGGAGGAGAAGAACCTCGCATCCGTGTCATTGGTAAGTATCCACATGGATCTCTTGAGGGAGGGGGCCCTTGTCACCAGCTGCGCAGGTCTTTATCACATCCAAACAAAGAGGACACGGAGGAACATGTGGCAAAAAGGGTGATGGTATCAAGTACTTTGACTGTCAGGCACCTCCACAACAAGTGCAGTACTGGTTTTGTTTGGCTGGCTTTACCTGCGATCATGCGAGTCTTAGGCCATGGAAAGCATCTTCTCCGAGAAGTCTATATATATAGGTCCATGGCAGTTGCAATCACATGACCAGGACTATCAGGTTTAATTTGACTACTTCCTTGGCGACATCACACACTTAAACCACAACAATATCGTCTTTAGATTCTTTAGTTAGGTAAGTTCAACGAAGAAAAGCACATGCTGGTGAGCTGGGTCACAAGATCCTACAAGCCTCAACTCCAGGCTCACTTCAGCTTTTTGTCGGATCCTGCCCAACAGCTTCTTTTGTTGGGGGGTGCTAGGGGTTCAACGCCCCACGTGGAAGGCTTCATGGTTCATGAATCTCCTGTTTTGAGGCCAGTGCTCGGCCCAGACCAGGCCAGACACGGAGCACCGATGACACGTGGATCGTATTGTTGGTGGTAGGCTGACAGGTGTTGGCACTTGCGGTTTGGCATTCTTTTGGGACAAAGCATGGATGAAACAACGAGAGTTCCCCAACGGGTCCATCGATGCCGATGGAGTGGCGATGTGCTCGTTTTTCAGCGGGATACAGACACACACACACACACACGGATACACAAATCTGAGACGATCATTGAAGCCGTTGAAGCCTCCCGTGATGGGAGTTTGTGCCTTATTTTCATGCCATGGGTCAGCTCTGTTTCAGAAACAGGATCCTTCATCACGGAAGAACCACAAGGGCTCCAGGATGCACAGAGGTTCTTGAGATTTCTTGAGATTTCCTGAAGAGATCAGAGTTTCCCTGATGATGCGCTAATTGAGCACCAGCGCCATGTGGCAGGATAGTGCTGAGTCAGGCGGGGACTGCAGCTTGGTGAATTCCGGGCCTACACACGAGCGAACAAGACCCAGGGACCACAAAGGAGCGAACCCCGAAACTGTTAAGACGAAAACATCAGCAAATGGCCGGTGGGATGAGTGGCAACAGTTGGGACACATTCCCATAATTATCATATCTATATAATATATATATATATAGACTAGATAATTGCAGTATAAATATATTTTTTCCCCGTAGTTTTTGCGAAGGCATGGACTGCACAGTCCTCCTTGGCATTGGGCCTCCACAGGGATATTTTCACAGGTCGTTGAGAATCACAAAGGGGTGAGAGCGGTGCAGAGTCCATGATAGCGACAAGGATGGTGTACCTTGACATGTCTAAGCTTCCTACTTCCAGACATCACCCCGAAAGACAGTGAATCAGCGCATGGAACGCCTTTGGAACATATTTCACCACTCACTAAGTAAGCAGATCTAAAACTGCTTCTCGGAAACCAAAAGAACGGTCGGAGAGCCTCCGGCCCTGGCCGTTTGAAAAACCAGCGGCGCCAGGTCCATTGTCATTGGTGAGCGATCTCATTGGCACCGGGGGCTGTGATGAGCGAAGCCGTAGGTCGGAGAGAACCGCTCTGGGCTGTGATGAGCGGTGGAACCGGTTTTTTAGACACTGGGAGGCCGAGGGAGGGCCAAAAACAGGCACGATTCATGTCAAAACGTGATTCGTTATTCTTGGGTCAAAGCATGTCTTCAAGCCGTGGTATATCATGAAAAACAATCTTCGCACATGATTTGTGTGTTTTGACTCACCTTTTTGCAGACACGCGATTGCTTCCAGCTTGTTGTAAGCTCTTTGAGTATTTACAAGTCTTCCCCATTCCACGATAATTAGTAGAATTTGAATTGAGCGATTCATTCCAGCATTTGCTGGATATATGAGGATTTGACCATTTGACCAAAATCGGCGTGGGTCGCCCCACCTGGTTCCAGCCTGACTTCTAGTCGAAACCATCCCTTTTGGCTTTCTGGGTCGACTGACCAATGCCTCGTCACTGGGTCCAGCGTTTGCCCCTGCGAACGAACGAACGAAACGCGGCGTCGTTTTGCTCATTTGGGCTCGAGCGTGTGTTTAAAGTGTAGGGGGAGTAGTTATATTTCGCAGGTCACGGCCGTTCCCTTGGCCACCTTTGGACGTAAGTTCAGAGGGAACACCAGGAGGGGGGCCAAGATACAGTAGAAGAGCTGGGGTGGGGTGGTCGGAACGTAGTTGTTCCATTTCTTTTAGATAGAATTGGCGGAACATGGAAGTGAGGACATGTTTGGCCGGTTGTGCAGAATATCGACTTGGAGTCACTTTGGTTCGTTCAAGTCAACATGGAAATGCTAGGAAGACTAGGATTTAAGTGTATCTGGACAGATTTGGTCTTGCATGACATGACAGGAGAAGTGAGGTAATGGAATGAAGCACTATACCTAGCGCGCAACATTGTCAATATCAAAAATACAACGAAACAGAACAATAGAGACCCATTGAGACCCCGAGAATCAATGGTGAATTGGCATATATATAAATTATATGATCATCATTGATCACTTCGTAACAGTCCGGACGTCAATGGTACATGCCAAGGAGAAGCGCTTCGTCGCGCCGTCCCTTCCAAACTCGAACTGGCGAGAGCATTTCCGCTCCACACTGCCATTCACGGATTTCTTTGGAGCCTTTCCGAGTTACTCCATTATTATTGGTATTTATTGGTATTTATATGCCCTGGACTTCCATTGGACCATGACAAAAATTTGAACGACCTGGTTTTGTAGTGCAAACTGTTTGCAAAAACAATGGTGGTTCGGGATTCAGCCTATTAAATTAATGGCGGGCCAGGAAGCGGGAATGCCTCCTTGACTCCTCAAACCACACAAGTTTCTGATCGGTTGACCGTCCCCCGATCGTTAGTGGGGGTGAACTGTTCGTCGAAGCACATCTGTCGGTTGAGGATGAAGAGCTCGGCTCTGAACGTCTTTGAGCTTTCGCAGCTGGGCCGAGCTTGGGGACCGGTGCCAGATGTGGAGTCCGATTTGTGGCGTAGGTGAGGGTCTTTTGAACATGTGGGCATGCATCTCTATCATCTCTCAAGAATCCACCATACTTCAGTTCTTGGTCATGGGGACAGTTGTAATTGGAAAAAAGGACAGCGAGTGCGCTGCCTGGCTTTCAAGCACATAAAGGATGTAACCATGTATATGAACAACATGGCTATCTTTATATAGATGGTATATTTTGTTTGCATCAGATACGCAGTGATGCTGGGTCAAAAGATAACGCACGTAATTAGTGCTCCCTACTACTGGCCCTACTACTGAACCAAAACGTGTTTTTTTCAGATACAAAGTACAGACAGAAAGAGAGAGAAGCAGCAAGCTGCCAAGCGATAAAGAAAAGATGCTGAAGTTGAAACCCCATCTTCCACAGAATCAGACGATCAACATCCATCCGGTCTTGCCGGAACATCTCCCACATGACTGCGTGACGTCACAGGTATCGTTCCACCTTCATCGACGTCACGGAGGGGGACCTCCAAAATCCTCCAACAGTTCCTTTGCTGTCACAAAAGTTTTTTTTTGAGCGTTTCATAGCGTTTCTGTTTTTTGTTCCGAAGTCTTGAGTCAAAAAGCTTGCTGGGAAGAGTCCTCTGAGATTCTCAGGTGGTCCGCCTTGGTTCAAGCTGGCGCGCCTGTGGTGTTCGTCTGATGTCGCGTGGAGGAACAGTTCACCTAAGAGAAGCCGCTCTTGTTTGTTTGACCCAGCTCCAAAAGGAGTCACACGATCAAACCCCATGGGTCCCCATACCAGTCCCCATAGGTCCACGATTCACTGCACCTGCCACGTCACCTGAGTACGCCAGAGAGCGCCACAAAAGATGCACAGCCCAAATAATTCCCGAATATATCCCATTACCTTTTTCCTTGCCACAAAGAGTTGAGACCGTCCAAACATCAGGATTTCCCCGCAGCAGCTTGAAAGCCGTGACCGTTCGTCCAACGACCCAAGGACCGGGACAACGGTCGACCGGTCGAGCCAACCAAATCCCAAACACTCCATGGGACTGCCATAGGACTGTCGCCCCATTGACTCCTGAAACAACCACCCTAATTGATCGGCTTTTCTGCCAGTCCCATGGAGTGTCACATTCCATGTCGGCCCGAACAAGAGAGGATGGACTCCGCGCCATGGCCGTGCTGGGCACGTCGGTGACCGACCGTCTCAAGAGACGTCAGGTTCGCTCACAGAGCTGTCCACCTGAGACGTCTTCCGACCAGCTCGCAGACATCCACTACGTCAGCAAGGAGCTTGCCACAAAAGGCCAGCCTCGCGGTGAAACGCTGGGGTGTCGAATTGGACCATTGGACCATTGGATGAAATGGGTGTTATTTGGCGTTTGAAAGGAGGGGGGGGGCGATGAAAGGAGGGGGTGTCTCCCCACTTGTTTGCCTGTGTTGTTTGCCCGCCTCCTCCTCCGCCTTCTGAAAGCTGTAGGCTATATAGGGGCCCTTACTTTTCAGTGGCTGATCGGCGTTTTGCTCAACCCATTCGCTGCTGCCTTGTCTCCCACTTGCTTCAGCGCTTGTCTCCCTAGACAAGCCTACTTGTTTGCCTGTGTGGCCATCGGCTTCTTTGCCACTGTTGCTTTGTTTCCTTATGTGTCTCCCAACTTGTCTCCCTATCCCCCCACGTATTTGCTTGCGACTTGTGACTAGCGTTTTGTTTGCCGATGCTGTCTTGTCTCCTAACTTGTCTCCCTACGTGTTTTTCCACTGGTTTCCTTACATGTCTTCCCACTTCTGAGAAGATGACCAGATTTGTGGAACCACACGGAAAGGTGCTGTTGGACTCACTCACCGTCATTGGAAGTTTTCATGGGATTCGTTGTTTCAGGCGCTTTTGTTTTTAGCTATCTGGGGTCTATGCCGGTGAGTTTTTTGACTGGTTGCACGTTACAATTGAGGAACAACTTAGTCGGGAGTCCACGAGATATTGGGAGTTCACGGGTCAAAACGGTCATCGGACAATGCCTTTTTGGTGTTTCTCTTCTTGTGGAGCCGCGTCAGTCAGTATTGTGAAACTTGTGTGTATATATACCCTGGAAGTCCAACCACTATTATTTCAATAACGGTTCCCATAACCACTATTTTCATGAATCACGAAACGAAGGTTGTGAATCACGGTCATTCACGCTCTCCAGGCACCATCGTTCCTTTTTTCTCATGCTGCTTCCGCCAATCACCGGTTGGCCGTTTTCATCAACCTTGGTTGGGCCCACCCATGAACAACACATGTTGAATAGCTGTCAACACTACATGTATCACTTCTGAGGCGCTCTTTGATTTTCCACTTCATCGACTTGAGCCTCACATCACCAAATTATGTTTAAACTAGGGGCCAGTTCACAGACAACAACTATTGCAGAGTGCCTCAATTTCTGACACCTCAACAGCCACCGGCTCTTCTTCTTAGCAAATGCAAATCGGGTAGTGCCTGCAGATGCTCAAGAACGTATGCATAACTGTGCCTGTAATCCATTTTGCCACATAACCCTAGTTCAGTCGGATTGCCTTTTGCCCACTTCATGGCATCTTCATCAGCAAAACAATGGAAATATCGAGGGTTTTCTCCTGAGAAAAATCATGATGGCAGGATCTACTAATCGAGGTGTTGAACAAGGTGCAATCACTGCAAGCATGCAAGACACTCCATCGACGCAAATCAATGAGGACGTGTAGGAAAGCCTCAGCTTGATCACTCCCCCAGTTCCCCTGCTATGTACAAGGACAGTGAACAAAGAGGCCTAGGGGCGTGAACCTTGGGCTTGAGTAGAAACTCAAGCCGGCGTTGGCAGACTGACAGATGGCCAAGAGCTTCAAAGGTTTGTAGGAAAAGCAGTCCTTCTTGATATATCTCTTCAGCAGTCTCTGCACTCCTAGATGTGACAGCACCATCTCAGTGTTCTATGTACAAAAACCTTCTGAGGAAAAAACATAAAACCAGTACAAAAACAAACAACACATGTATTTGACCAGCCAATCGTCAGATATCGACCGTTCATCTCTAGCATCCAAAACACTCGAGCCATGGACGTCCTTGCTGGCACAGTGTAGAGGATTGGATGGGTGGATCCAAAACGGAAATCAGATTATCCAAACATGATGTTAACATGTGTTAAAGGATGTTGTTGAAAACAAAAAGCAAAGTCTTAAAATATCGCTGAGTTGCAGGGCAACACACGCCGTTTCAAGGATCCCACCATCAAATCCTGGATGATTGGGCGCAACCTCCCTCAATGTAGAGGCGAGCCAATCAACGAGAACTCTGCCATTCCATGCTTTTGCCAGCAATAAGATCTCACCAGTTTTCATTTTGACCTTTCTCTGAGGGCAACTTCCAAACAGGGGGCAGGGCTGTGTGTCTACCATAGTTTTTCCTCTACCGCCCCACACTTCGATACAAAGGACTCCTCATAGTGTTTTTTGCCAATGCAAAAAAGACACGTGTTTTTCTTTGAATGGTGGCTGGCTGTGGTGAAGACGGTGCCGCCGGCAATACGCAACAAAGTCTTTATATGCGCGGTCCAGTTGATCCTGGAAGCTCCCAGGTCCAAAATGCCCCACCCGCTCTGCTAGGAGACACCTCGAACGCTGCATAAAAAGGGTGCACTATGGTGATGCCTTTTGCCGTGATACACAACATTGTTTTCGTGATTCATGAAAATCGTTGTTATATGGGAACCGGCCTGTACATAACAATCGTGGTTGGACTTCATGGGGGTGTAGTTGGTGTTCCCCTGAAGCTTCCAGTCACAAGTCATGACGCATCCACCAGCCAGGAAGCAGGTGCCCTGGATTTTTCCCAACACCAAACTTTTTTATCCAGCTATTATAGTATTATCCACGGGCCAATGATAGATATAAAAAATCCAGGGCACCAACACTTTGTCCTGGAGCTCATCTCCAAATGCAGCCGGTTGCGAAGGCTCGGCGGTCAGGATTTCGGAACAGTGCTAAATTTGTTCAAGGCACAGTGCACCTCCGTTCAATCCAAAGACCAAACCCAGATTAAGGATGTGCATCGTGCACCACCGTATGCACGATGGATGGAATGCATGCACATTGATCAGGGGGCCTTGCAAGGTTTGCTATGCCCACATGCGTTAGACTCCTAGTTCTGGGCTAGGTTCACCCAAGTGCTGTTCATTGGTGGATGGAAACCCTAAAACATCCTAAACCCCCACCAAGAGACAAATATGAGACTCCGGCAACCGATTGTTAATGAAGTCATTGGTGTCAAACTCCTCAGACCGCCATCGAGCGTTCTGATCCAGGTTCCAGTATAGAAGACCCGCGTTTCCTTTAGACCTGGCTGTGCACCTGTGGCATGTTTCAATGCCATTCCAGCTGCAAGTCAGCTGCCACAGGCTTTTGTGATGTTCCCAATCACCTCTGTACTCCGTCACCTGAAATTTGTGAAATTGAAGAGTAACTTGACTTCCAGCGCGATTCTGATCCACTCGCGAGAGTGCAACACCACCAGGGCCGGAAGTTGGATAACGGCCAGTGGCTAAATAATTGAAGCTCCACGCTAGTTTCCGAAGAATTGTGTTCACTGTACGTGATTTGTACAGCAGTGCCACATCGCAAGACCAAAGCAAGAAGCGAGAGTATCTAATGGAACGAGGTCTGAATAAGGGAAAGCTCAAGAATAAGCAGAATATGGACTCCACTCGATATTTGGTCTGGAGCTGTGCCTTGTCCCCGTATAACCCCAAAGGAATTTTTCCTTTCGAGTCTTCACTGGCAAAGGGCGATCTGCAAGCCAGGTGGTGGTTCCAATAGTCGTCCACTCGTTGCTGTTCAATCTCCAGTTTTGCAACATTGAACACATAGGCAATGATATCGTGAGGATAGAGCATCAACTGTTTTTCATGCCTGAATTTTCCAGGTGCTTTGATATCCTTCACTGGGACAGACACTTCCCGCATTGCCTCAGATTTTTTCTCCCAACATTAAATTTAATAAAGGGGTGTCAATTATTCCCAAAAGAAATCAATTCACAGAGGTGGAAAGCACATCTACTGTAGCAGCCAAATATACATCACAGTAATTGATAAATGGCACTACCGGAATATCAGTGAAGCGCCAAAAGTCACGCGAGTCATTGTGTCCAGACTTCCGCCCCAAGTGCTGGCTTCCAGCGTGGGCTGCGATTCCACTCTCCTGGGCATATCAGTGCACATCTCCCACTAAACCTGGGTAGAAACCTTTGCAATGGATTGGTGGGAAAGAACATAGGAGGGGACCCAAAGCAGGGCAATCCATCACCCTTGACCAAGAGAGTGATCGCGCCACAAGCTTGCATGCTAGGTTCCTTCACATGCGATCTCACTCGCTGCGTTGCCCTTTGAGCTGAAGATACCTGGCAGCCATTCAGAAGGGAGTGGATCGTGGCAACAGGATATTAATATAGTATGCTGCTATTGCAAGGTATATTAATATCAGAGTATAGTAGGTATTCAGCAGTCGAAAGACTAATTCTAACTATGCATATATAAACCCAGCATTGCTGGCAAGATGCACCACTGCTCACATCTTGAACAGCATCTTGTAGAACAAACTCTTCTTGTTCATATCCTGCGTGGGATGGGATCCAATTGAATACCATGCATATGCATGTATATGCACAAAGTTGCACAAATATCATATTATGTTTCATGAACACTGATTTCGATTTCAGTCTTTTGCACCTGATGTTTGCGTGCAGTGTTCTTCTACCCACTGCTGGAACGCTGTGAAAACAGCATGGTCGATCTACCCAGCACCTACAACATTAGACAGTGTGGTAAGGCACCCTTGGGGATGGAATGATGGAATATGATGGAATTCGTTTGGTTTCAAAGGGGACTGAGATTGTTGTGATTTTTTCTGAAGACATCGAACAACTCCCAAACCCTTGGATGCGGCAGCCACTGTCGACCCCAAAGAAGTGTCACAAGTCCTGCCCTGCTAAGACACATCCATTGAAAGAGAAGGTGTCACAGGCATTGGGCTTTAACACGCACTACTACTTCACGCTGACTTTCCCAAAAAAGGTAGTAAATCGCTGTACGGCCGCAGTGACTTCAGATGCCAGGTCTTTCATTGCTTCCATAGTGGAGTCACCTTCCTGTGTGCATGCCCACATGTGGTTGTCAACTACAAGATGGCCACCAAAAAAACACATTCTTCCTATGATGCTAGCTGACAGTGAGTTTCATTGTGATATACGATATATTGTTTATGTCTCCCAACCACCTTGGCTTTTGCAACCTCCTG